TTGTATTGTTTATATATCCCGAATGCAATTATTCCGTCAGTTTTATAGGCTGTAATTTTCCTATTTCATGGCTTGCTTTACCCCAAAATTAGCAGAGCCGTAATTTTAGTGGAGTCAGATTTTCCTTCTGCCTGAAGAGTATCTTTTAGAATTTTCTTCAGGTCTGCTAGGCATAAATTCTCTCAGTATCTGTCTGAAAAACGTCCTGATTTCCCTTCACTCTGTAAAGGTATTTTTCATGAGGTCTAGAAATTCCAGGTAGACCGACCATCTCTGGCTTTCACTGTCACCGCTGAGAAGTCAGCTGTGAATCCAACTCTTCCCCTTTGAAGGTAACCCGTCTTTTCTCCCGAGCGCTTTTAATGTTATTTCTTTATAGTTCTGTATAATGGGGCTTGGAATCAGTTTCCTTTTACGCATTGTTTGGCATTTGTTGGATTTTTGAATCTGTGGGTTAGTGTTTTCTACTGGTTTTGGAAATGTGTCTTTTTCTCGAATTCTGTCATACATTCTTTCTCTTTCTCTCTTCTCCTCTGATTAAATGTTAAATTTTCTAAGATTTTGCTTTTACGTTTTCCATCTGTTTTGCTCTCCATGATGCATGCCAGATAACTTCATCTGACCTACCTTTTATAGTTCAAGGGTCACCAAAGTATATAGTTCCGTGGGCTAAATCCAGACCACTGCCTGTTTTTGTAAATAAAACTTAATGGAAACATAATCACGCTCGTTCATTTATTTACGGTCTACGGCTGCTTTTGCGTAGCATTAGGCAGCTGTGATGGAAACTACATGTGGCCCTCAAGGTCTAAAATATTTACTATCTAGCCCTTTGCACAAAGTCTGCTGATCTCTGTCCCAACGTATTATTACTCTCTTCGGCTGGGTCTAGAGATTTTAGATTTCCAGGATCTTAAATTTCAATTATATTTTCTATTAAGTTCCATGTGGTTCTTTTTCAATTCAGCTAGGACACTTTATCTCCCATTCTTTACTAGTATGCTCAATTTTGCCTTTTATTCCTACTGGACTCGTAAAACGATGGCTGCTTTACAGTCTAGGAGTCTTCACAAATGTACGTCTGATGTGTATTCTGGCCCTTGCTCACAGTCCCTTGTTTCCTTTTGTGACTGACTCATTTAGGCGTGGGAATCAATGTCCTTACAAAGTGTCCAAGGCCCAGAGTTAAGCTGCTTTTCGTCAAACGGGGTCGGTGCTGCTTCTGCCGGACATCTGCAGACATCACCATCCCACGATCCTGTCGGGCCACATTCGCAAGCCGAAACCAGTGAACCTGGAGTCCCGGCTTGCCTTGGGGGAGGGTCCCTTTTATACTCCCCACTTTGTGCACATCTCCGTGATCTCTGTCCCTCTGTCCTTTGCAACTATTAAAATAGGAAATGAGAGTTTTCTCAGATGAATAAATGCCCTCATGGCACAACTGGCTCTTATGCTCCGATCACTTCCACAGGTACTCATTTTCCTCCGTGAGACACCTTGTCAGCTGCCCAGCGCTTTTCCAACTATGGTTTTTATGTTTTGTCTGCCATGTTTAGCCACGTCCGGCGAGGAACCTGGTTTAAATGACTTAACCTGCCGTTACCGGCTCCGAAGTGCCAAAGATCACGGACTAGGGCAGAGCCTAGTCTTCAGAGGAAAAGGATGATGAAGAAAACCCCTTCTGGAAGATGTGGAAGAAACATCTAATATGCCTGCCGTTTCATTAATTAACAGGCAAATACCAAACCACCTTTGGAAAGCCACCATCGCGTCTGATACATCAGAGTATCTTTCTTTATTCTGATCTGAAAGCAGCTGGCATGTGATGTAACAACGCATTTCCTCCGGGCCCTGCTGCTTTCATGGGTGGAACGGGGATAATAACAGCACCTCCCTTAGAGAGGCACTAACGATGACGTGAGTCAATCTGTGTAAAGCCCTCAAAACCGTGTGCACACACAGATAACAGCTAGACACACTGAAGCAACTCAGGTCACCGAAATGAGGACATACAGCTTAGTTGAGGGCCCATACGTGGTTTCTGTTCAAAATTATTCTTTTTGTCTAAACAACCATTTAAGAAGGTAGAAACTATTCTTAGCTCAAGGACCTTAAAAAAAAAAAAAACCAGAACAACAAAGAACAAAAAACAAAACACCACAAGGCCGAGGAGCCGATTTCAGCCCACGAACTGTAGGTCAACCCCCGGCCTAGCAGAACAGGCAGAAGATTGATAGAACTCACGCACTGTGCTTTTAAAGTGCTCTCCTAGAGGACTGTCAAAAAAAAGGGGGGCTCAAAATTGTAGCGATTCTCTCGAATCAGAGGCTGAGACTTCCGTGTCCCCAAGGGAGCTAAAGAAGGCAGAGCTTGAGAACCATGTGAGGCCGTTTGCTGGCGTTCGACACACAGTACGAACTGATTACACTGTGTGGGAACAACGTGGATGGGTCTGACACGTGTTGACACGAATGGAGGCAAACATACATCATTTACCTGGCCGAAGACTGTCCCGCCCGTACTGGCTGCTTGACCAAACAAAGAACCAGTGTTGCTAGACCCAAAACCTGGAAAATAAGAAGAAAACAAGTTTAATTTGGATGAGTCTTTTACGACATCAAGTATTTTGTTTTCAGATGGCATTCTAAGATACCGGATAACAAATGGACTCAGGAATAAAATCTGTTTTCCTATATAGGCAATGGAGAAAATTATGAGTAATGAAGGCCTTTCTCGGGTCATCGTTAACGTTTTATTAGACTGTAAATTCCCAAATCCTGAACACTGAATCCTTGTCTCCTGCCAAAGCCCAGGCTGGTACGGTGGGCCACGCTCAGGATAGCTTTTCCTTACTTTGCGGTCAAGGAGTCTTTCCAGTGACTGACTTAACGTCACAAATGTTTTTACTCCTTGGTTTCCTCTGATCTCAAACACCAGGTTCTCCTGAGGTACTTCCTCTTTTTTCTAGGTGGCGTAACAGGGCTGAGGTGCTGCTATGAACTGGGCCTGGGAAAACCAGGCGGGCCTGCACGTTAGCAACGAAAGAGCCCGAGCCAAGGAGCTGGAAGACGGGAGTTCCATGGTCATCCCTGTCACTGATCTCTAGGTAGGTGAGCTCAGGCAAGGCTCAATTCCTCCACCAGGGCTGGAGCAGACTGCTCAGGTACCTTTCCACATTGTTACTAGATGAAAGAAGATTGCTTCAATGGTTCATACTTGCGTCTGAACAGTTTGATTATACTTGTGCCTGAGGGACTGTCAAGTTCAGACTGCAGAGAAAAGGATGCTCCCAAGAGCGCGCTGAACACCCTTCTCTTTAAGCCTCCCCAGGCCTTTCCCCCTTGCGACACCACATGAGCACATTCCCCAGAACTCAGGCCGGCCTCCTGACAGGGCAGCAGGTGGAGCTCAGAACTATCTTTCGGCACTCTGTCTGTCCTTGGAGCTGAACCCGGCGGGAGCTTAACAAACATTTGCGGGAGGAAGGAAGGAAGGAAGGAAGGACGGACGGACGAAATTTCCTTGCTAATAAATTATAAACCATCTGCAAATAAATCATCACCAAGTGAACGAATGGGCAGTCACTTATAGTCTTGCCCACCAAGAAATCATTAATCCCTGTTTCCCCCCTGCGGCCTAATTGCTGAAGAAATTGCCTTTCCTTAGATAATTACTAGAAATTGAAACTTAGAAAATATTCTCAAATTGTCCTGTTGATAACTTGTGGAAGTGAAAGCAGCTGAAATGGACACGCAACAGTGGGTTATGTTTTACTTTAAAAAGTAGTAACATTTAGGGGTGCCCGGGTGGCTCAGTCGGTTAAGTGTTGTACTCTTGGTTTCGGCTCAGGTCACGATCTCGCGTTTCGTGAGCTTGAGCCCCGCGTCAAGGCTCTGCGCTGACGATGCGGAGTCTGCTTGGGATTCTCGTCCTCTCTCTGCCCCTCCCCTGCTTGCGCGCGCTCTCTCTCTCTCTCAAAATAAATAAATACAC